CCATCATTGAGACGCGCACCCCACCCTCTTCACCTTGGAGATCTGGCCCCGCCCACTGCCCTCCAAGTCCGAAGGCCTTAGGAAGCCCCATCCTCTCCCGGAGGCAGGTGGGGGGCAGAGGGTGGCCTGCCTCCGGTGGGGGAAGGGCGGCCCTGGCTGAGCCTGAGGCACTGCAGTGTGGGTGCTGGGGCTGACATCTCTGTAACCCCCATCCCGCCACCCCTGGCTCCCAGCTGCACTTTAACCTCCGGAGTGGGATGGGACCCGGGGCCAGGAAGAAAGTGCCTTTGTCCCAGCACTGCGTGCGCCCAGGGCGCTGCTGGTCGCCGCCCCCGCCCCGTGCTGGACCTTGTAGCCAGTAGATAGACGCCACCCGACAGCCCTGCGCCTCCTTGGCAATAAACCCCTTCCACACCTGCCTTCTCGTTCTCGTCCTCGGCTGCGCTGGGGGAGGGAGGGAGCCGTGCGGAGCTGCAGGTGCTGAGGGCTCCCTGCATCCTCCTGTGACCCGCCCACTTTCCCACGGCAGGGGGGAAGCCATCCCTCCTGCTGCCCCCACCCACCGTCTCCATGGTTGCCACCTCCTCCCATGGCCGCTGCTCTTTGGCATCAGGTGCACCCAGGGTGGGCTTCTAGAACCACGCCCGGCAGATGTCCCGCCCTCGGTGCCCTGGGCTGGCCTCTGGCCATCTCCTTTTGCCCTCACGGTGACTCCCCCATCAGCCCTGGCTGGACCCCAGCCTTGGCCTGGGCCTTGGTACAGGGGAAACAGACAGAACCCCAGGCCACCAGCGGCGAATGAATACAGCCAGCCCGCCGGGTGCCGCCTCTGCTTGCAGCCAGCTGCTGGCCAGGGTATTCGGAACAGGCCACTCCCCACCGCGACTTCCAGGGCACACACTCCAGACGGGGAGTTGTGGATGCGGCACTAGAGGGGTTAGCAGTTGTCCCAGGGTCGTGCAGGTGAGGAATGTCACCGACAAGACAACTCAGGGGCCAGTGGCGTGGCATAGCAGGTGAAGCTGCCGCCTGGGACACCTGCAGACTCTGGGTGCCAGCTGCAGTCCCGGCTGCTCCCCGGCTGGTGCAGCTCCCTACGAAGGCGGCTGGGACAGCAGTGGAGGAATAGCACCTACAGGGGGAAGACGCTCCTGGGTCCTGCCCTGGTTGATGCAGCCCTTTGGGGAGTGAGCCAGAGGATGGAAGAACTCTCTCTCTCTCTCTCTCTCTCTCTCTCTCTCTCTCCTCTGACTTTCAGATTTAGAAAATAAAAAGACTGAAGACTGGAACCGGTCTGGCCCAGAGCCCACAGCGAGCTAGAGGAGCCCGACGCCCAGGGTGCCATCCGATAGTGCGCGGGGGCCGCTTTCCATGTGGCTTTCGAGCAGGAAGCCCAGGCTCTGGCACAGGGGACTCCCCATGTCCCCTGACGTCACACTGGACACTGAAGCCTGGCGGTCAGGACCCCGGCAGTAGGGATGGGTGCTTGGCACGGGGGTTAAGGCACCACGTGGGGTTTCTGCATCCCACATCGGAGTGCCTGGGTTCCTGTCCCAGCCCTGCTTCTGATCCCAGCCTCCTGCTCGTGCACACCCCGGGGAAGCAGCAGGCGATGGCTCAGGTCCTTTGGTCCCTGGCACCCTCTTGGGAGACCTGCACTGGGTTCCCCATCCCTGGCTTCAGCCTGGCCCAACCCTGGCTGTTGCAGGCATTTGGAGAGTTACCCAGTGGGTGAGAGATCTCTGTCTATCTCTCTCTTTGCCTTTCAAATAAATATTAAAATAGATAGAGCAGCGTAGATGTGTGGTACTGGGCCGTGGTCCCAGTGGATTCGGCGCCCAGCACTGTCGTGGTCAGGGGCTGTCTCTGGAGCAAAGCAGGGTGTAAAGTCACAGCTGCATGGAGAAGAGAGTGAGGGACTGTTTGGGAATGAAGCACGTGGGACTGGGGCTGGCGCTGTGGCACATGGACTGAGCCTCCACCTTCGGTGCAAGCATCCCATATGGACGCCGGTTCGAGTCCCGGCTGCTCCTCTTCCGATCCAGCTCTCTGCTGTGGCCTGGGAAAGTAGTAGAAGGTGGCCCAGGTCCTTGGGCCCCTGCACCCACGTGGGAGACCTGGAGGAAGCTCCTGGCTCACAGTGACCATCTGGGGAGTGAACCAGCAGATGGAATCTCTCTCCCTCTCCCTCCCTCTGTCTGTAACTCTACCTCTCAAATGAATAAATAAAATCTTAAGAAACAAATAAAAAGCAGGTGGGAGTGTCAGCGTGGCTGCTGGAAGGCCCCGGGGGGCTGCCAGAGTTCTGACGTCATTCTCCGTGCAGCAAGGAGCCCTGGAGCGCACGAGGCCATGCAGAGCTGCGTCTCAGAGATGCTAAGATGGGTGGGGGTAGGGGGAGGCTGGAGACCATCAGGGGTCACAGCCATGGTCCAGGCATGAGATGGTGGGGGCCAGAGTTGGGTGAGAGCAATGGGGTTGGAGAGGCTGGACCCGGTCAGAGAGGCAGGGCTCTTTCACAGAGGCAGGGCCGTGCGGGAGGTGTTCTGTCCTTGGACGAGGGAGCCCAGCGAAAGGGATCTGAAGGGCCAGCGGCGCTGTGGAGGAGCAGGTAAGGCCGCTGCCTTCAGTGCTGGCAACCCATACGGGTGCCGGTTTGAGTCCTGGCCGCTCCACTTCCAATCCAGCTCTCTGCAGTGGCCTGGGAAAGCGGTGGAAGATGGCCCAGGTCCTTGGGCCCCTGCACCTGCATGGGAAAACCTGGAGGAGGCCCTAGCTCCTGGCTTTGGATTGGCACAGCTTGGGCCATGGTGGCCAGTTGGGGAGTGAACAAGCGGATGGATGACCTCTCTCTCTGCCTTTCCTTCTCTCTTTGTGTAACTCTGACTTTCAAATAAATAAATAATTTTTTAAGGGATTTGAGAGATGACAGATTGTTAGCTGTGCCAGGTTGCTGGTGGTGGTGATGGATGTGTGTGTATGTGTGTGTGTAAGCGTGGGGGGTAACTTCTGAACTTTTGTTTTGGCCGAACTCAAACCGAGCCACCCTGAGAGCCTAAGGGACGCGTTGCAGCCCCCTGCCCCCTTCCACGAGGGTGGATGGCCTTGGGATGTTCTCAAGGGATCGATACTGACACCGGCAAGGTGCACGCAGCCATGCTCTGGGTGGCTGGGTACTTCACCCCAGCTTCCCTGCCTTCTTTGCCTACGTGCCATGTTTGCCTACGTGGAGCCAGCTCGCCACACCTCGGGGTGCCCCAGTCTGCTGGACCGGGCCACGCCTAACTGGAATCTTGAGCGAGTCACAGGTTCATGAGGCTCAGTTTGCCCAGGTGTGAAATGGGCAGTAAGGGGTGAGCCCAGGCACAGCGAGCTCTGGCCGGAGCCTGGCGTTTAGCAAAACCCTGGGGAACAGCAGCCACAGCTGCGGGGGCTTCTTCTCCTCACCTGCTGACCAGCTGTTCATTGAGCACCTAATACGTGCCAGAGACACAGCCGTGAACAAGACAGAGACCCCCGCACGCCACGCCGCCTTCTCCTTGTCCTCAGCCTGCTGGCAGGTGCGCGGGCCAGGGTGCAAGGCCTCAGCTGCCCCTGGCGCATCAGCTGTCTCCTCCAGAGGGGAGCTCGCCTAGGCTGGAAGTCACGGGCGGAGGCCAGCCAACTCTGAAATGTGGAGGCATTTAGGACTCAAGTTCAAGATAACATGTGCGGCCACAAGGTGGCACCACCACCCTGGCCCCGATTTTTTTTTTTTTTTTTTTTTTAATTAAAATTCTAGCACAGTACCGATAACAATGTCGCACCTGTGACTTGATTACCCGGAACGAACACGCGGTAACATGATTGTCAGGGCAGGGCTGTGCTGCAGTGGGTTAGGCCACCGCTCGGAGCCCGTGTGGTATGTGGGAGTGCCCGGGATGGAGTCCTGGAAACTCCTCCTGCAATGCAGCTCCGTCCAGTGCAGCCTGGCTCCAGTGCTGCGGCCCCTGCCGCCCCCATGTAAGACGCATGGGGAGCCCCTGGCTCCTGGGCTCAGCCTGGCCCAGCCCTGGCTGCGCGGGCATTTGGGGAGTGAAGCAACAGACGGAGGATCTTTCTCTTCCCTCTCTCCCCTCTCTCTGTTGTGCTACCTTTCAAAGAAGTAAACAGATACATAAATCTTTAAAGTTCATCATCATGTTTTCTTTGCAAAGAGAGAGAGAGAGAGAGAGAGGTCTTCCATCCACTGGAAGTGGCCGCAATGGCTGGAGCTGCGCTGATCCGAAGCCAGGAGCCAGGAGCTTCCTCTGGGTCTCCCATGTGGGTGCAGGAGCCCAAAGACCTGGGTCATCTTCTGCTGCTTTCCCAGGCCACAGCAGAGAGCTGGATCGGAAGAGGAGCAGTCGGGACTTGAACTGGCGCCCGTATGGAATGCCGGCACTGCAGGCGGTGGCTTTACCCGCTACGCCACAGCGGGAGCCCCTGGAATGTGTTCAACATTCATTCTCTTCACGTCTCCACCACCCAAACTTCAGAACAGCAGAAAACTTTGTTTTAAAAATTGTATTCTTAGTCTTTCTTTCTTTTTTCTTTTTTTTTAAAGATTTATTTTTATTTATTTATTTGAGAAGCAGAGTTCCAGATAGGAGCAGAGACAGAAAGAAAGGTCTTCCGTCCACTTGTTCACTCCCTAAATGGCTGCAGCAGCCAGAGCTGGACTGATCTGAAGCCAGGAGCCAGGAGCTTCTTCCGGGTCTCTCACATGGGTGCAGGGCCCAAGGACTTGGGCATCTTCCACTGCTTTCCCAGGCCACAGCAGAGAGCTGGATCAGAAGTGGAGCAGCCGGGACTTGAACTGGATGCCGGGGCTGCAGGCCGCAGCTTTATCCACTACACCACAGCGCCAATCCCAGAGAACCTTTATTTTATGTTATTCATTAATTAATTTTAAAAGCAGGAATAGAGAGAGAAGGAGAGAGAGAGAGAAATTACCCATCCGCTGGCTCATTCCCCAAATGGCTGCAACAGCAGGGGCTGGGCCAGGCCCAAGCCAGGAGCCAGGAGCTCCATCCAGGTCTCCCATATGGGTGCAGAGGCCCAAGGACCTGGGCCATCTTCCACTGCTTTCCCAGGCCACAGCAGAGAGCTGGATTGGAAGTGGAGGAGCTGGGACTCGAACCAATGACCATATGGGATGCCGGCTCTGTAGGTGGATGCTTAACCAGCGCTGGCCCCAGTGGAGAACTGACGAGGCGTCACCAACCTCACAGAGCAAGGAGAAGAATCAGGGTTATGAGTCCAGGTCAGTGGTCCCCCCAGGACCCATTCTGAGCAGCACTGTCGGGGTTGTGGCCGTCGCCCACATCCGGGCTGCCGGGGCTCCAGGAGTTACCACAGAGCCGAACACAGCCCCATTTTGCAGATGGGAGCGCCAAGGCCGACAGCTAGTGCTGACAGCACCACAGGGTTCGCAGATGATAGCAGCGTTGTTTCATAACAACCCTGCGAGTCTCAATGTGCTGTTCCGCTGCCTACGGAGCAAACCACGCCCCCCGAGATGGGGCTGCTGGCCTTCGTTTTGCATTGTTTTTTAAAAAATATATTTTTTATTTGAAAAGATGTCACATGCGTGTCTGCACACATGTACACATGCACACGCACACACACCCACTGGTTTACTCCCCAAATGGCTGCAACAGCCAGGGCTGGGCTGGGCCAAAGCCAGGAGCCAGGAGCCAGGAACTCCATCCGGGTCTCCCACGCGGGTGCAGGGGCCCAAGCACGTGGGCCGTCTTCTGCTGCTTTCCCAGGCACTTTAGCAGGGAGCTGGGTCAGAGTGGAGTGGCTGGAACTTATCCCAGCGATCAGATGGGATGCTGGTGCCGCAGGCAGTGGCTTTACCCACTGAGCCACAGCACTGGCTCCCCGGGGCTGCCGGCCTGAAGTCCTCAGGGTGCTAAGCAGTGGAGCGGGGAATCCTGGGGCAGGGCTCTCTGGCTCTCAGTCTGGGCTTGGGCCTGGGGCATTGCAGCAATCTCCTGGGTCTGGTGTCTGGGGGCCGCACAGCAGCTCGGGGTGGGGGTGGGGCCTGTAGGGTCTTAGGTTTCTGCCAAGAGGGACCTTGGCACCTGCAGCGGGCTTCCTCGGCCCTGGGTGCTGGCAGACCCTTGCTCGCTTGCTGTGAGTGATCTTGGCGAGGTGTCGTTGAAGCGGGAGTGTCGCAGGACCAGGAGTCACACAGGAAACTCGGATGTGGGAGGTGTGACTTCTGTTTCCGGGGAGGGCAAAGGCCCAGCACTCTGGACCCGTCCGCACTGCTCTGCAGCTTTTCCTTCTGTCGCCATCGCTACTTCGTGATTACTCTGTATGCTTGCTCCGTCTTCTCCCACTAGAACGTGCGTTCTGTGGAGTGGGGAATCTTTGCCTTTTTTTTTTTTTTAAGATTTATGTATTATTTATTTGCGAGGCAGAGTTAGAGAGAGAGAGAGAGAGAGAGAGAGAGAGAGAGAGAATCTTCCATCCACTGGTTCACTTTCCCAAATGGCTGCAACGGCCGGAGCTGGGCCAATCCGAAGCCAGGAGCCAGGAGCTTCTTCTTGGTTTCCCACCTGGGTGCAGGGGCCCAAGCACTGGGACCATCTTCTACTGCTTTCCCAGGCCACAGCAGAGAGCTGGATGGGAAGAGGAGCAGCTGGGACGCCAACCAGTGCCAGCACTGCAGGCGGCGGCTTAACCTCCTGGGCCACAGCACCCGCCCCGAATTTTTGCCTTTGTTGCCGCCGGGTCCTTACGGGGCCCGCCACGCAGCAGGTGCTCAGTACGGCTTTGTGGAGGGGATGCAATGCACAGAATTGGTCTGGCCGCGAGGGTAGGCGCCCTTCTCAGCAAGAGGGAGAGAGACACATGGTGGTGACACCCAGGGGAGCACATCCCACTTCCAGCAGACCACGAGACGCCCAGGCCCCCGGTTGGGAGCCCACAGGTCAGGCACCTCCTCTTGAGTGCCCGGACGGTTTCTGCTCACAAGACCTGGGGTGGGTGAGGGACTATTAACCCATTTTGTAGATCAGCAGCTGAGGCCCAGATGGTGTTAAGTGATTTGCCCAGTATTTCCCAACTGGCTCCGCGTGACCCCGCGCGAGTGGGAAGACTCCTGCTGGGGAGCAGTCTTGGTGAGAACTAGGTCTCCTGTGCGGTTCCCACGTAGGGCTTGGGGAGGGGCGTACGGGGGTGTGGCAGCTGTCACCGCCGGGGAGGCGACCCGGTGCAGCTGGGGCGCTCCAATCGTCCCTTCTCGGGCCTGGGGTTTGGGACCCCGCTAGCAGGCGAAGCTGGGGTTCGGCTCTCTCCGCCCACTGAGGGGCGGGGCGCACGCTCCGCGCCGGGGACCGCGCGCTCCTGGCAGCACCGCCAGCTCCTCCGCGCGAGGCGGCCCCTCGCAGCGCCTCCCGGCTCCACTGCCCCCGGCCAGCCGGCCCACACCGCCTCTTCCTCTCGCAGCCCCGCGGCGCCTGCCGCAGTCGCCGGCCGCGGAGCAGTGCGGAGCGCCCAGGTACGGAGCGCGGGCGGGAGGCGCGCCGGCGACCGGGCGGCCGGGCGGGAGGGGGCGAGGCGCAGCCGCTGCCCTTCTAGCCCCGCGGGGCCTGCCCGGCCCGGCGCCCTCCCGCGCGCTGCTGGGGG